TGTCTCGTGATCATGGAACCCTAGCCCTGGCTTTGTCAGAACTTAGGTCATGTGTAATACACACCGCCTTTATTCAATTCTGCCAATCTTTTACAACTTAGGGCTTTTGCTACATCTGCGCATGCCAAAGCAACGCGAATTTTATGCGAAAAATATGATGCTGTGTCATTTGTATCATTTTATTATTATTATTATTATTATTATTATTATTACAGTGGATATCTCGCTATTGCCCTTTTTCAGCGAAGAATTTTGAAAGTCTTTGCACGGTCATCTGAGCCGCCCGCGTGGGAGGTGCTGGGACCAAGCTTCCTCTAATCCAACCAGGCAGTTTTTGCTGGATCCGTGGCGATTCATACCGGCGGTCGATCATGATGATAGCAGCGTAGTCGTTCACGTGTCTGATGGCTCGACCAATGCACTGGTTCACTGCTCGCATACATGAATTCTCGTAAAAGTCCCTGCCCGCTGCCTTGCCTGCTGCTTTCCTTTCCGGCTCGGACCCAGAAGTTTGTTTGTAGGTTTTCTCCTCCAGGTACTGGATTTTGGCCTGCCATAGAGGGCTGCGGATATTGGGAAATGGCAGCCCGATGATAAAGACGCCCCGCCCAAGTTTGTCAGAGAAATTAATGCCTTCTGACAACTTGCCACCCACGATAGATAGCAGCAAGGCTCCTGATCCTGATTCAACGGCCTCGGTATACTCTCGCAACAAATCGTCTGTAGTTGTCACTGCTTCGCGAGATTCGTAGAGAATTTTCTTCTTTCGTTCCAGTAGATTGAGAGTGCTTTGGCCGTTCCCGTTGGGTATAGGCTTCTTCCAGACGCTTAGAACATGACTGAGATAGTCATAACTGGGGAAGAACGCGACCACCCCGTCTGGAATGACTTGACAGAGGGTTGCTATCGTACGCCCAAGGTCGGTGATCTGGTTGATACGTAAATAACAAAACTTTCCGCAGTATGGACCCTGGTACATACCATTTTTTCGGAATTTCGTGCCTCATATGTAAAATCAAATTCGTTTCTCATCAGTCCTTGAGTCAAAGATTGCGCCACCAAGTTGGATTTTGGAATGACGTGGCCATAACTGAATGTCCCTAGTCGTTCTGGGGGCAGATACGAAAACAAATGATTCACATAATCTGACATCTGTTGATGGCATTAGAGAGTTGCGATATCAAAATACGAACCGTACTTACAGGAGACATAGTACCACCGGCTAGAATGACGGCCCTAGCGTCTTCGGCAATTTCCCGAAAGTGGTTCGTAGGGTCAAGAAGCATGTATTTCAACAAAACATCGTCTTGACTTTTCTGAAAGAAGAGTCGTCCCTCTTCCGAGGGGTTCATAAGAGGAAGAAGGAAGCTTTGAATATGAAACAAAACCGGCATTGTTGTTTTATCCTTGGGTCGACCGGGCTGTGGCTGTTGCGAGGATTCAAGATAGCCGTCAACTTTCCGGGCGAGCTTGCTCTCTTGCAGATATTTAGAGAGCTTGTAAGGGTTGATTTGGTCAACTCCCTTTCCAGCCATGAGATCTGACGTTTGCACTGAGCCTTCCAGCGGTCCTTTTCGCTGAGAGATTGACTTCATATGCTCCGCAATGGAGCTCACCAACCGGATGACTTGAGCAACATAGTTCCGATTCTTCCCTTTTAGTCTGTTTTTGAACTTGCGGGCATATGTTGTCAGCTGTCCTATGGCAGTCTGCAGTTGACTTAGTGAGACAGTCACCGAATGAATGCCAGCTATTGCATCCATGAGGTTGTGAGCTTCATCGATGATGACTATATGACCTTTGACGGAGAGATTTAGGGCCTCACGAGCTGATCTTTGTAGCAACAATGGATATGGAAGTGTGACGATCTATTCTTGGGTCAGAGCCGATGTTATACCTGTGAGTGAGCGAAACTAACCTCGCTGTGTTTGACAACTGGACGAGATGCATAGTAGGGACATATTCCGAGCTTTTTCCCAACCTGGGCAATGTCTTCGATGTCTTTGACCGTCGCCAAAGCATGGTCCCTGAACTCAAGCGCCAGAGCCTCATCGTCTTTGGAGGGAATAAAGGAACATTTCTTGTCGGTTGCAACACTCGCTTGCTGTAAATCCAAACATCTTTCGTTAATTGCGGTGTTGTTCTCCAAGGCCCGGACTTTGGGGTTGATGCACAGGTTCTTTCTGGACCCTAGCGACAGGTGTTTCACACGCTCTTCGAGTTTGGAGAGGTCATCTTTGCTCTCTGGATCGAGATCACTTGGTATACTGGATGGGAAGGTGACTCGCCGCAATTCACCGGCAAACTGGCTTAGCTGGGAATGGGTTCTTGAGCAAAAAAAGATCTTGATCTCATCATCTCCGTCATCTTCATCTTCTTTCTTTTGTGTTGAGAATTTCCCCCGAAACCGTTCCAGCAAGGCTAAAGTGCTTGCAGAGAGACCATCGGAATTCCCAGAGCCATTCTGCTTTTTCTGATTGTCTGTGTCGCTATCATAGTCATCAAGAACAAATTGATCGTCATCGTCAACAAGTTCCAGTGCTGAGTCGTCAAGTCGCTATTTTCTAGTTGGTATAACAATCTTGCATCCATCAGGAAACTCATGCATACCTGCTTTTTACGAGGTCGGTCTGCGCTATCCTGGGCCTGTTTTAAACGTTCTTCCTCTTGTCGAATCTTGGCCAATCGGGTCTCGAATGCTTGTCTCTTTTCGGTAATGGCACGCCTGGATTCCCTTTTGGCATGTTCTATCATCCACTCGGGCTCATCGTCATCGCCTGGAATGTCAGACAGCTGGTATGTAGTCATATGTTTCACAATGGGACCCACATGTTGCATCAACGGTTTCCTGGAAGGCCTTTCGCTTATGATCTCGAAGCCAGGTCAAAGAACCACAGATTAAACTTAGAGATTTTCCAGTCCCTGTATATATAATATGTTTGATAAAATAAAATAGCAAAATAAAAGTAGTTCTAACTTACCAGTGGGGGATTCAAATACAGCGATTTTGCTATCTTCCAGACAGGCGTAGAGGGCCTGCATAAATTGTAGTTGAATATCGTATGGCGTATAGGGATGGTGGAAATCCATAGTGGAGATGATATCCAGTAAGAAAAGAGGAATAGTCTTGTAAAGGAAGGAAAAGGGAAAAGATAAAAATAAAATGGGTCTATAAGGCAGAAGGGAAAAAGAAGGGAACACTGAAAAAAACCCAAAAAAACAACAACAACCGAATTACATTAACTATACGGAGTAATGTTGTATGTAGTAGGGGTGTTGGAAATATAAGGGACCCAGTAGTTACTCCGTATGTACGCAGGTATCAGAGTTCCTCTGTCACTTGTTCGTTTTAGTCCTCAGGTCTTGCCGCTTTTTGCTCAGTACAGTTGAGCACGGCCCCTCTCTAACCCACCGCTCATCATCTGAGAGCCCTGATTCGTCAAGACTGAGCTGAGCCACAGTTCCAAGGATCCATGAAATCCACCTGGGCAAACACGCTAGTTCCATCATTTTAGCCTCCCATCACGAAAGGCCAGGCTTCATTAACGTGATTATTCATCCTAAACTGGCTGCTTTGATTGTGCCACGGAATCTGCTACTTGGCCACCTAATTAGTACACTGTTCTACTCTAAATACTTCGCGTAAGCTATAGTGATCGGACCGATTTCTCGTTCATATCTACCCATATTCCTAGGAACTTGAAGCATGTACGCCTACGGTAACTAAATTTGATTGATCTAAACATATTGTCTCTTCTTTCAATGCACTAGAATTCGTGAAATTTGTCAAAACTCTAGTCACTTCTTATCAGTTGCCTCGGAATCATGACAGCATATTTCAGCACAGAATGCCCTCAATTCGCCTAGCACTCGCATTGCAAGAGCGCTGTGATCTTTGATATACTCAAAGAATGAGAAACAAGTTTGAATTCTGGCAATATATTCCTCTGCTACATTTGAGTCAAGGCGTTTTACCTCTGCTGCAAGGGTCAAGGCAACAGAGAATAAGGCAGAGGTTGTTGCCCTAAAAAAAAAAGAAAAAAAAAAGGGGGAATATTTAGTTGAACAGGTCTAATGAAAGCAGAAGAAGAATTGAGACTCACCATGGACGATGGCGTGCCAACACAACCTTGTGTTGCTTGACCATGGACACAATCGTGTTGGCCGAGTCCAAACAGATTGCTTTTGACCTTGCAAGAAGGACATCCGAAGAGGATGCCCATCGATGTTGTAGGACTCGGTTGACCTTCATTTGAGAAAATAGAGATGAGAGAGACAAGGTGGTTTGTTGCCACAATACGCAGGGCGGATGTTTTCCCCTGTCTTGGCCTGGTCCTCCAGAGATCTCGAGAAGATGGGATGGCAATTGTGAGATGATATTGGCCAGGGCTTCATCCGCTGTCAGAACAAGGTCTCCAAGAAGATTATCTCCACCTAGATTTTCAATGGCCGACATTTGGATTCGAAAGCGATAGTTCGATTGGGCTATGAGGATCATAGCATTGTGATAACCCATTGGACGTGGCATTGTGATGGCCGTATTCGGCTCGTCAATTAATCCTGTCGTTAACTCTTCATCTGATAGGACCAGTGGTAGCCTGACATTGGAGTCCGCTTCGTGGTTGCAGGGCGGATGCGCTGGTATGGACAGCCATTCACAGATGATCAAGGTCCACCAAACTCATCGACTGATCTCTTGCATAACAGGGTCGTTTGCTATAATGGGAGGCTCCTGATCCATTCCCAAGATCTGTCCTATCCTTATTCCTGTTACTTGAAGAACTGGTTGAAGATTAAAATCCCCAACATTTTTAGCCAGTCCGATCAGTATGGTAATGGCCTGTACTGTCTTGAAATCAGGATTCCGCATGAAGTCAGCCTCGTTGAGGAAAAATTAGCGCTGTGCTATACCAGTATTGAACAAGCTCAGGTGTATTTTCTATGATGCATCAGACTTGAGAAGGATTGACTTGACTGGGGGAAAGGGTGGGGAGTCAAACCTAGAGGTAGTCTTTTCTAGCCTCATCCTCATCCATAAACATAAGACTCATCTATGATCAATCAGATCCGTTGCTCATAGGAAAAAAAAGGAATATTTTCTCACTGCTATGAAGCCAAAATATACAGCAAGCCAGAGAGCATCGCAATCAAGGAATATCCCGCTCATCCGAGCAGACTCGTGCTCCTGCTCGAATGTTTGTAGATGAATAGCAAAATGGATCCACGAGGTCCACGTAAAGCTGTGATGCAATAGAACATCACTGCCTTCTTTGCTTGGCATCTGGATATCTGTTCGACTCCACACCTTCTGATGATAAGCGCTTTTTCCATGTTGCAAATTCGTCTGAGTTTCGAGTATTTCAACAGAGGTTTCCCATCTAGGGTATGTAGAAGAAGTTGATTTCCGTCGTAGGTTGGGTTTGAATAGATCAGATTTTAGTCGATTGTTTTCTTGTTGGAGCTCAAAATACGATAGAACTGGCTCTTTCTGCTTTGCACCGTCTCTATTTTAGCACTGGTTTATATACCATATCGCTTGACACTCCTGGTAACTTGGCCTTTGACTTTGACAACTTCTCTTGCACATGTGGTTTCAAGGCCTCTTGCAAGACAAGTTCCACATGGGATCTGCTTGTCGCATCTCACCCGACGTTTAGCACATCTAGAGCAAGCAGTGGGTGCCCTTTGACTCTTTCTGGCTGTCATTGAGAATATAGGGAAAACCAAAACAGACCCCAAGGCCTAAATGCAGCCCTGGAAGTATTTATCTATGACTTGGACACATCCTTTGTCCCCGAAGTCTGGGTTGAGCTGATTGGTCTTGATAACCTTGGGACTTTCGGTGATTGGCTGATACGATTACTCCTTATCGAGGTCGTAGGGCTGCCGAGGTCACGAGGTCACCAATCTTCCAAGGTTCAAAGTTGGAAGTCATTTTGCTTAGCGTGAGAGAGGAAGTATATGGTGATTAGCACTACTGAAGCTAAATAAGATGAGAGCAGTCGAATGTCTGAAGAAAAATAAAAATTCAGACCTCGCCAAGCTTTGATTGGACTCGCGTATGGATGAGACTAGTGACATGAGAGGCCAAGGTTTAAATGTTACGCCAGAAGTAATTGATTGTGAGAGGAAGGGGAAACTATCTAAAGGTGTGGAGGTAGAAAATATGAGCTATGAGCGAGCAGATGATCTAAAATCAAATGTTTCGTAGGGAATTTTCCCTGCCAACTTTAGCACCAGGTCTGTCTCAATCGGCACCTCATTAAGACGCTTTGTCAAATCCCCTTCTTCTTCTTCTTCTTCTTCTGGGCAGTGTTCGTCACTAGTTTCAGTGAATAGATTGTCATGGGGCCAATGAGTCTACTCAAGAAATTAACAAACTGCCCTTTTATACAAAAGAGACAGGATACTTACTGTTCCAATTCGCTGGTCAAACGGTTCACCCTTTTGCTTCAAGATATCAGCTGTCGCAAAGGAAGCTGGCGTATAGCATGCATCTATGACAGTTAGAAAAAGAAACCCCACCTGGATAAGAGAAGAGTACTCACAAACAACGGCGCGTACGTTCTGAGTTGATGGAACGCAATTGAAATGCATAGTACGAGAATCCCAGAGAATCAGATCCCCGGCTTCAGCAGTGACCTTGTGAATCTCACAGCCTCTTTCCTGGAACCACTTCACCTCACCCTCGTCAAAGCCAAACCAATCGCTAGGTCCCCACGTTTCTCGGCCAATTGTACCCGAGTGAGTCTTAAAGAACTCGGACATAAGCTTTGTGGATCCCCTTTATGACGAGAAGACCCCCGTCTTGAGGACCATTTGGAGCAAAATTGAGAATACCCTGGACGCACTGCATGCCCTCTCGCAGCGGGCTTTGATCAATATGTGGCCAAGGTTGCGTTTGTGGCAGAGTAGTGCCAGATGGAAGCGTGAAGTTCATCCCATCAAAAGAGACTAGAAGCTTGTCGGTTCCCCACAGTTTTGCGAAGGCTTCGATTACTCCGTCCTCCCTGATAAGATCGATTTCGATGTGTATTGCTAGATATGAGGATTGAAGACTTACGTTCGGGCCTCCCATATAAACTTCTCATGTTGGATACGATATCCATGATACATCCCCCCCCCCCCCCCCCCCCTGATGTGTGTGGGTAAATGTTGTTCAGTCCAAGTTAAGCGATTGTTCCTATCAAACCCCAAAGGGAAACTTTCCAACCACTGAAACATCTTATCGATGTAATATTCACATCTCTCTGGCAAGATGGCGTTTTTGACCACAACGTATCCATTTTGGAATAATTCATCTCGCCAGTCTCCGTGAACTTTGGAATCGTCCACGGTAAGTTGATTAACTATTCGATAAGGCATAGTATAGGTGTAAAACTGGGTACAAAATTAAGTGCAAACCCGAGTGATGATGGAAATAAGAAATGATTGGATAAAGTACTTTAAACAGCATTTGATGTTTTTATCTTTCCTTTATTTAAAAGCCCAAGTGTGATACTCCGGGGGATGTCCCCCGGACCAGTTGACGGAAACTGCCGCGTAGATAAGCAAAATCTCGCGCGAGTTTCGGGCGAGTTATAAGGTTCTTGACAATTTTCATGGAGACGCCGATAAGTTCTTTGACCATCCTACGATTGTACTTTCAAATACCATTGATCATGACAAGATATAACTTTGATAGATTCCTTGGTTCTTTCAGATCAATGCCATCCTCCTCTATGTTAATCTTAGAGATCAACCTCCAATATGGCTGCCCACGTTCAGGAAATCCAAACTCAACGCTTCACCAAATGGTGGAAAGATCTGGGTCTTCGAAAGATATTAGCGTGGCAGGCTACTATCCTTGTATCACAAATGACTACTGGTTATGATGAAAACGTGGTCGGAAGTTTCCAGTCTATGAAGCCCTGGGTTAAAGGTCCATAGCTCATTTGTACAACTCTCGAGATAGAAGCTGACTATATCACTCTCACCAGATATGGGATATCCCGACTCGTCTAGACTCGGATTTATCACATCTATTGTCTTCGTTGGGGGTTTTGTTGGTGCTCTGGTTGCCTCACCTACGGCGGACTACTTCGGACGCCGAGTAGGCATGTTTGTTGGATCAACCCTGACGTTTGCGGGAACTATAACCCAGACAGCTGCACAAAATGCTGGTATGTTTATTGGTGGTCGCTTTTTGATTGGCTTTGGGATTAGCTTCACATGTGTTGCTGGCCCCTCGCTGCTCTTCGAACTGGCTCATCCGGCAATGCGTGGCACAGTCTCTTCTTTGGTAAGAGATATCCCCTTACTAATAAACCCAAACCCTTCATCACACTCGCTGATAATCTGATATTTTTAGTTCAATGTACTTTGGTACGTAGGCTCTATCATTGCGGCATGGACAACGTTCGGCACGGGATACATGTCTACCAGCTGGTCATGGCGTATACCGTCGCTCATACAAGGAGTTCCCGCACTTCTCGTCATGATGTCAGTTCTTTGCGGTCTACCCGAAAGTCCGCGATGGCTTTGTGCAAACCAGCGCGTAGAAGAAGCCCTACATCTGCTTGTGAAATATCATAGCAACGGCAACTTACACTCGGCTCTTGTGATCCATGAGATGGAAGAGATACATATTTTGTTAGAGGCTGAAGCGGCCGCCCAAAAGAGCGGCCAAAATAGCTGGAGTGTTCTCTACCGGCCACCAGCAAACAGGAAACGAATTGCCCTGGTGGCTACTATTGCCCTCTTGGCACTCTGGAACGGCTAGGGTGTAATCGCATACTACTTTAGCCCCATCTTGACCAGCATTGGTATCACCTCTACACCTCAGCAGACCGGCATCAACGGTGGCTTGCAGGTCTGGAACCCGCTTTTCTCCCTGGCAGGAGCTTTACTGGCGGATCAAATCGGCAGACGAACTCTCTGGATGATTTCATTCGTTGGGATGATCCTCGCCAACGTTCCATCGACTATATCATCGGCCATGTATGCCCAACATGGATACAAAGGAGCCTGATATGCCGTTGTTCCTCTACGATGCGGCCTTTAATTTTGCCAACAATCCACTTCTTTATTGCTATCCGACGGAGCTTCTACCGTTTGAAATTCGGGCCAAGGGGTTGAGTGTTCAAGTGGCCGTCTCACAGGCAGCACTGACTGTCAATCAATATGTGAATCCCATTGCACTGGATAGCATTGGATTTTACTACTATATTTTCTACCTGGGAATGATTATCCTCGGGGTGAGTGCAATTTCTCCTACCCTTTCCATTTCCATACCTCGTGACACTAATGCTTTCTACACAGACTTGTATTATATTTTTCACGTTTCCAGAAACGAAAGGAAAAACCGAAGTTGAGCTTGCAGCTCTTTTCGAGGATCCCAAATTGGAACGTGCAGACCCAATAACGCTTGAAGGGTTGGAAGCAGCACTCGATCATGACTCAAAGCCCTGCGAGAAGAGTGCTGTGGTTAACAAGAACGAGGTGCCGAACTCACTCTAATGTGGGATATGAGTGTGGAGGGATATGTTAGGTTTACGAAATGAGGTTGTATACATTGTATACATTGTGTAAATAACCATGGTGTGAATTTTGGTTATGCACATGTGATAATCTGATTATAGACATATTGAACATTCCAAGGTTATGAAGCTGTCTCAATATCCCAATCTACTCTATCTTAAAACACCAACACCCACACCCCGGCTAGTAAGCTGATAGACACATCCGAATAGCCGGTTTCTCCAAATCCCTCTGCTCCACAGCCCTGTGGGGCTCTGACTATGCCCCATTGGGGATGTATTTGTATCGACTGAACATGGACTGAGTGTTCAGTACTAGAGATATCCGACAGAAAGTCAGATTGCCGTTGAAATGCCAAGATTGATGTATGCATCGTAATTGCATTGTTTACAATATTACCATACCAGGGGGAGGGGGGGGTTTGTTTTTTTGGTAATTATTGGAGGTATAGATACGATAATACGATTAGTCATTACGTACGACCCGAGGACTGAAATTTACTGCGCCTCCAGGACTGGAGCCTTAAAGCGGCAGGAATACAAAGCCCCACCGGAGGAAATCCCCTACGTCCACGGGTACAGGTACCTCATGAGGCTGAAGAATTACATGTATGTGTATACATATATATTAATTATATATTATATATTACATATATAGCTGACAGGTCAGCTCTATTACTATTACTATTAAGGGTATACGAGTGCCTAGATACTATTAATACATTATTAATAACTCTTATTCAATCCCGTTTGACCGTTTGACCTGGCGGGGGTGGGGGTCTACTTTTTTTTCCCGTTAAACCACTTTGAACTCCTCTTTTCATTTCCCCCTCTTTCTTGACATTCGACTTGAACTATCACAGGGGGAAACAATTTCCTAACAAATTACAATGAACAGACCACCACAGGGTGGTCAGCAACGCTTAGGTGCAACATGGTATCCAGGGGGCCAGGATGACTTCTACATGCCAGAGGTCATATCCCCATCTCCCCAGAGGTATGGATTTTGATATCACATCTATTCTGCGATTTGCGATTCCTGTGGTCTCTGCAAAATCTGCAAATGCCGAAAATACGTGTACTAATTCATCCTAGAGTGATGCCAGAAGTACCCGAGAACATGCAGGACAATATCGCTGAGATGGAATACCGCGCTGACCCCCGCCGCGGGCAACAACAACAACCGCAACAACCACAATACCAACGCGCCCACGCCTATCCCGAGCGCACCTCCTCCGCTGTTCAAGGTCAACCTCAACATACTCAAGCTCACGATCCCAGTTCCTACGCGCAATCCGCGACCTATGACAGCATGGATCACCCCAACTTTTCGCCTTTCCCGGTCTTACGGAATCCACCGCCTAATGTCCCGCCCACCGATGAACAGAGGGAAGCGAACCTAGAGCGCGCGCGAATGGCCGTGCTATCGACCACAGACCCGGAGATGCAACTTGCATGGGCCTTGGATGCCCTCGCCTTTGTCGAGGTCGCCGCGCAGAACGATGTCCGCCTCTGTTTGACCCAACCGCCACGCCCGCAGACCCCGCAGGTGGAGCGGCAGCTACGGGTTGACGCGATGAACATCGTCGGCTTTCTCGCCGAGCAGCGCCACCCCAAAGCAGAATTCATCAAGGGCATGTGGCTCGAGTTTGGCAAATTTGGCTGCCCTGTCGATCGCAAGGAGGCATTCCGATCATACTCCAGAGCCGCTGAGAAGGGATATGCGCGTGCCGAATACCGGATCGGAATGCAGTTTGAGAGCTCGGGGGAGCCGGAGAAGGCGATCAAACATTACCAGCGGGGTGTTGCACGGGCGGATTCTGCCTCATACTATGTGGGTTGTCAGATTGATCATGCAGGACAGTGGAGGCACTAACACACTCGCAGCGCCTGGGAATGATGATTCTTTTGGGTCAGCATGGTCAACACCAGGATTTCAACACTGGGTTGGAATACATCCGCCTGGCAGCGCAGTCATGCGACCAGAACGCACCTCAAGGTGCATACGTGAGTTCTATATGAAATTTACCTTGGAAAATTTTTCTAATGGAGAAAAGGTGTACGGCATGCTCTTGGCTCGAGAGCTCCCTCAAGTGAGCGTCCCGGAGAGCTTCCTACCCCTTGATCTGAACCTAGCACGTGTCAATATCGAAAAGGCGGCATATCACGGGTTCGCCAAGGCTCAGGTTAAGATGGGTGCGGCATATGAGCTCTGTCAACTGAGTTGTGATTTCAACCCCGCGCTGTCTCTGCACTATAATGCACTAGCTGCCCGCCAGGGCGAACCCGAAGCCGAGATGGCGATCAGCAAATGGTTCCTGTGTGGACATGAGGGAATCTTTGAGAAGAACGACGAGCTGGCATTTACATATGCCCAGCGAGCGGCCCAGAGTGGTCTCCCGACAGCTGAATTTGCTCTGGGTTACTTCTATGAGGTCGGTATCTATGTGCCGGTGGATATCAAAGAAGCTCGCTCTTGGTACGCCAAGGCCGCTGCCAGTGGCAACAAGGATGCATCTAGCCGGATTGAAAGTATCTCCCGATCAAAGACTCTGTCCAGAAAGGACCATGAGAAGATCGCGATCTCACGCATCAAGTCGACGCGATATACCGCTCATCAGCGAGGCAATTCCCTGGAATCAACCCCAGAGAATATCCAAATGCCAGACCCCTCAAGAATGAGCTTGTCTGACGGCCCACCATCTGGGGCTCCTTACCCCGATCGTCCTCACTCTACTCGTCCCCGGCCCCAACAGGGTTATCAGCTGTCAGACACTCGCCCAAGCTCTGCTTTCGGCGTCAACCCTAACCTTCGATCCAATGCACCCTCGGGATATGGTGGCCCACCTCCCCAGGGCCAGGGCCCCGGATCTCGCACTCCGTCCTATGGGCCTGGTGGACCTGTCGGACCTGGCGGACCCATGAACTACCGCCAGCCTGGCCCTGGAACCCCTCTCAGCGCTCCTGCTGGACCTGCAAGCCCGCAGGCTGGTAAAATGATCGGTCCTGGGGGGACTCCTCGTCTCGATATTGGCTATTCTGCACCTATGTCGCCTCCAGGTGGCCGACGTCCACCACCCCGCCTTGACTCAGTTCCAGATCGCAAGCCTATGAGACCTCCTGGTTCTAGCCACCCTCCTGTTTCTAGCCACTCCGGGATGTCCTCGCCCAGTGTGGCATCTCCTCGTCCGCCCGGTTCGCCCTCGTTTCCTCCACGTATGGAGTCCCGGCAACAGTCTCACAATTCGGGTGCCTCCACACCTCAGCCGGCACCCTCGGTCGCACCCTCAGTCGCGCCCTCAGTCGCGTCGTCGACTTCATCCGCGCCCCAGCAGAAACCCGCTAAGCCGCCAAGCAAGGGACCCAAGACCTTTGAAGAGATGGGCGTTCCTAGTGCGAATAAAGACAGTGATTGCGTATGTAAACCCTACTTTTTGGTCATTGAAACTCGAACCAAAGCTGACTCTTGCAGATTGTGATGTGATACCCCGAGGCTTTGTTCCCTTTTTATCCAAGCATGTTTGGCTGTCTCTGTTCAACTTGCATTTTCTCTACTTTCTATAATCCCAGGGTTTCAAAAAGTTTTTCGCCGTCCGGGAGGCGAATGGTCTCAATGGGTCTCCTTGTTTCCACATAACTGCATTTGCCCCATTTCATTTCTGCTTTGAGCTTTGTTTTTTCCCTGGACATATTATCATTCGGGTTGTAAGTTTGAGCATGAATTAGATATCAGGAGTAGTTGTGAATTATTGTTTTCATTTTTGAACCCTCCAAACTCTTCCTATTGTAGTGTCACTTCCACGTGAGGTCCACGGGTGTGAACCTCATCTACTCAGACCAACTCAGTAAACTCAGTGCAACTCGGTGCAACATCTCCCCAATCTTTACACCATGGCTCCGCGTAAGCCCAAGAATGATGTCTCTGTCGGAGATGATGGTTAGATATTCTCTAGATCATAACCATCGACTCTGACCTGCTAACCGTGGCCTTCGCAAAGATGCTTCAATGATCCGGGAATACCTCCGTGAGTATCCGGACAGAATCTGGATCTTGACATACGTTCAATGACTTACTCGACGAGTTTGCAGGTCAGCAAAAGTACGTTGGCTCTAATGAGTTGTTTACTCGAGGTGGTGGCTGACATCGCCTGGCACAGTCGTCCATATTCAGTTCGATCCCTCTTCAGGACAGCACAAGGAACAACCCGCTGAGCAAGCATTGTTTAGGCCATTGATGTTTCTGCAAATCTTCACAACAAAGTGACCAAAAGTAAGTCTGGCCCAGTGAGCCTGTCTATGCTTTCCTAATATACTAGTTACTAGCGCAAGCCGCAAAGCTTCTCCGGGATTTGCATGAGAAGAAAGAGATTGAAGCAAGAGTTTCTGGTAAGTTGGGGTATACTTGAAGATAGAGACATACTAAACCAAATGACGTATAGGCAAACAGACAGTCTACCATGCTCTACAAGATCCCTCGGATATCACAACCCCGGAGGTAGCCGCGGCTCTTAAGCTTGACATCGACAGCCTCGGGGGTGAGATTTCAACTCTGAAGGCAAACGAAAAGAAGGCCCGAGCAGAGTTAGCCGCCCTGCATGCAAAGCCCCGGATATCCGATCTCCAGCAGGATATCAGCCGTCTTAAGAGCGAGAAATCGACGATCCAGGCTCGCCTAGCAAGTCGTCACGCGAGTGACCCCGTTCAGATATCACCAGAAGAAAGAGAAAAGCTTGAAAAAGAATGGAAATACTGGCAACGGCATGCCGACGTGCGCCGTCGGATCTGTCACGATCTCTGGGGACAATGCTCTGAGGTACTTCCGGATGACATGAGTGCGGCGGAGTTGTGGGTGAGTTTTTGAGAATGACGAGTGACGAGTGACATAGCCCGGAGGCTTTCCAATCATCAATTGCTCTGGAATTCTGACAAATGTTTATCAGGAATCTTTGGGGCTTGAAGGAACGCTCCAATAAGAAGTTC